GTTTTTATTCACCTCTTGCAAGGAAAATGAGGTTTGGGTTCAGGTCCTAAATGCCTGTTGCGTATTTCAGACTTGCTGCCTAATTCATTGGCTTTCATTGTCTTAATACAATACATTTTACTCATAACTGGATGACATATTTTAATTTATTATTTTGGTTTTTTGTTGATTCAGATGTTATGTTGCGGGGGATTGGGGTAATGACACAGTCGATTGTAATAAATTCACCCGGTTATTTCAGCGCATTCAGCCGAGGAGTGAATACCATGTGGGGAGCTGGGATTACGCGTTTCTGTTATGGTAATTCCAGAGCTTGAAAATCATGTTGTTGGATTTTTGCGATTTGTTTCAACAATGCCCTTTGAAACTGTTGAGTCAAGCAACAGTTACATAGTCGTAAATGCAGTGTGTTGATTAGTTTTGGAGCTGTTAGTTACGGTACAGTCTTTTATGAACCTTCCTGATCGTTCTTTCTAGGCCAAAGTCAAAAGTTAGTTCGGTGTACTGATAATTTTGTAATTTCTGTTTTTATCAAAAAGCGTTTGAAAGTCACCCCCGGCCTAGGTTTTTACTCTGATCAACATTTTTCCATCGGCAAGCTGCGTATTTGATATTCAGTGTTATTGCCCGTCATGTTGCGGTGAAATGCACGTTTGCTTTCTTCTGCGCTGTTCAAGCACAGCTGATCAGTTGTTTCTAGTAAATGAGGGAAACGGTTATTGTCTCTACAGTTCCAGCCGTTTGCTCATCCATTTTCCTTTCTTTTTCGTTTTAAATATGTTCATATAAGCACCCCTCCCTAAATGTGATTTACTTTTTGCCGTTTTTACATTATGCAGAACCTGTTCCCATCTTTCGGTCTTGTGTGAATCTCGTGGTAGGCTGTCGATTTTCTACTGTGGACTCTGACACAGGCAGTAATCTCATGCTTCAGTTAGTGTTTGTGATCACACCGTCATTTTCCTTGACAAGACATGTGCACCTTTGGCAGATTCAGTTGTCATTTGTCGTTAGCCGGCCGTTGCAGCGCTCACAAGAAGCTTTCTTCGGTACCACTGGGTTAAGGGATCTGCATCCCACCTATTTCGCCTGATTATGCGACCGTATGTTTTGACCGTTGCCAGCTGTTCTCGACGATGGGCAGAAGTTAAATTACCTTTCAGGAATACCTTTTACATAATGTACTGGTTAGGTCTTTTGTCCGGCATGTCGCAGTTGGCTCTTAACCATCGTGGTGCCATGAACGAAATCTAAGCCATAGCATTACCATTGCAGGTCACCATGTGGCCTCACTTTTCGCCAATCTTTATCTAGCTACCCCGTTTCTCACACAGTTGAGCCGAAGCAGATTGGAGTGAATTAGC